GCACACAGCATTTATATAGAATACTAATCATAACAGTAATAATAGTGTTAAATATTATCTTTGAAAAAGAGACGAACAATCTAAGGATATGTTGTCGATTACATCATTATCGTTACTAAAACAGATAATAACAACAGTATAATGTATACTAATGTTACTGGTGTTACATCTACTACTTATAAGGCACATTAATTAAATAAGTAGTAAACACATAGATGATTGAGAAGTAAACAAGATAAGAATGAATAAGAGATTGAAAAGAAACCTAAACAATGTTATTATTATTGTATTATGATTTCTTCTTGTTGCTATGTGTATCATAGAAACTGTTTTATATGAAATAAAAGTGACAGAAAATTAAAATGTATTTAAAGTAAACAAAAGTAATCGGTTAAAGTTGAAGTAACCAGGGGATTTAAAAAAAAAATAGAGGATCGATTTTTAAAGTGTTCCCAGTCAGAGTATACAAAACCTACTTATCAATAATATATGGAAGACATTTCATTCTGGATAGTGTGTTAAATGAACTAGTTGATAAACAAATAAATGGGAATACAAGAAGTAATTGAAATGCATTAAGGGTAAGGGAATACAAGCAAAGATGTTGGATAAGTTACAAATGAGAAAAAAAACTACAGCTGCGTTTATTTGTTTTTTTTTGGGGGGGGGAAGGTAATTTTGAAAGCGTCCGCACACACACACATGGGTATGAGGGAAAATCAACACTTTGTTTTTGTTGTGATTTGATTTCTTCTATTCAAACAATTGACTTCGTCGAATAGTAGGTAAGATGAATTATTCGTTTTCCCTCATCCAAAGTAGTGTATTTATCATTATTCAGTGAATGGATTTTCAGAATTCCGTGATGATGTCGCTGAAAAATTGAGATCAATATTCATTAGAAATTGTATAAGTTAAAATTGGCACAGTAATTGATGAGAGTTAATCAGCTTAAACTTATTATTATTATTTAAACACATAAACATTAGTACAAGAAGGCGTCAAATACATATGCACAACATAAATCATTCGATTGATGTAAGGGCTGGGATACTGCCCGGATGCCCAGACCGAAGCAGGTGGTCTTATTAGGAAGCCACACCACGAGCCTTCGACCTGAAGGTCTAGTCCACAAGGCAGTGGAGCTATGTCAGAAGATACAGTCCCATGGTAGCCGGTGAACGATAATTGGTTCATACGCCATTTGTTTCCTTAGGATCCTGGAGCCTATATGCACCATTGGTTTAGAATCAGAGTTATCTAACTCCACTAGGTGGATACTCCATCTCCACCAATCCGGTTTCCGCACCGGATATTCGCTTTTCATCCTCTCGATTTCTTAAACACCCACGCCATGAGAAGACAGTGAGTAGAACTTTCCTGGCAGCCGTCGCATGCACGTGGCGCTTAACTTTAATTTCAATACAATACATTCGAACAGGTTAGTTGTATTCTGTTTTCAGTTATGACTATTATAGTATGTATTGGTTAGCTCTGGGAATTACTAGTTCACATATTACGTCATATATTGGCTGACATTTTGAAATATCTTAAGGGAGTCAAGAGTAAATCAATAATCAGACAAGATAACACAGTTGCTCTCATAATAAACGTCCCGATCACACGAACACCAAGATAACTTAAGAATCTATACTTTTTGCTGTCTATGCATAAAAATCAATTAGTTGGTCACACTGGTTCCAGATAATTTAATTTGTTTTAAATTACCTAAATTCTCTTAGTGAGTTTTTACAATAGTTTGATGGCAATTTCCAACGAGAAAACTATTGAAAACCGTAGTACAGAATAGGACGTACTATTGTAGTGAAGAAGAACACGGGTGAGGACAGCCAAATTGTATTTAGGACAAATTACAGAATTACTTGGTAAAATAGAAAAACCATATAGTAAATCGTTAATTTGCAAAATATCATTCTATCATATCAAACCGGGCTGTTGCTGTTGCAAACATTAATCCATTGTCTCCCATTCCATTGTACATGCGTTTTCTTACAATTGCATTGTGTTCTTGCTCTTCCTTTCTTGATCTTCGCCATCTTCTGCTGCCGGACATTACGTTCTTTTAACGCACGTTATATACTACTTATATCAATATAAGTAGGTCACACCACACTCGTCCCCCCCTTAAAGCAGTCGTGCTTGTGGTGCTTCATGCTCGCCGTGCAACATTCTCCGTCTCTGCAGTCTGTGCCACGCCCTCCGTCAAGATGTCGAGTCTGCGGCGCGCTGACTTCCACAGCTCTGTCGACCTGCCGGGGCAACAACAACCAACATCCACCCGGCACCTGGGACGCTTGACATCCGCACTCCACCGGCCTGCTGAGCCATCTACATCCGATGTCCGCCCAGCAGCCGCGCGTCCCGACGCTCCACTCCGTCGACATCACCCGCTACAGCCAACGCAGCCCCGCCAGGACACTTCACCAGACGCCACCTCTCCGCACCAGACTGCCCCAACTAGCACCTCAACTCCAGGCCCGCAACGGCGTCCGCAGAACAGCACACTCCTCCTCTCCTGGTTGGCAGCGACACCAAATGTAGTGAAGAAGAACACGGGTGAGGACAGCCAAATTGTATTTAGGACAAATTACAGAATTACTTGGTAAAATAGAAAAACCATATAGTAAATCGTTAATTTGCAAAATATCATTCTATCATATCAAACCGGGCTGTTGCTGTTGCAAACACTAATCCATTGTCTCCCATTCCATTGTACATGCGTTTTCTTACAATTGCATTGTGTTCTTGCTCTTCCTTTCTTGATCTTCGCCATCTTCTGCTGCCGGACATTACGTTCTTTTAACGCACGTTATATACTACTTATATCAATATAAGTAGGTCACACCACACTATGTTGTGGAACTTCAGTAGTTCATATACACAACTCTAAAATGGCATGAAATACGTAACCATTAACTCATGTCAACAGGTTAAAAACACAAAGACCATAAACTACTGAAAGGTGGCCCTAACAGTTCGTGCATATTCAATACTGTCAGTATCACGTTGTGGCAATTATTGAGTTTTTAATTGATTCTCGTAGTTTTAGTGACCAGTGGAGCTAATCCGTGTCGGGCATGAGAAAGTTATCCAACTCAGACAATCGAAGATGGTTGCGCAATTTCGTGGAGTGGTTGAAATTAGCCATTAACACGATTGGGTGTCGAACCAGTGATCAAGAGTTTAAGCGTTTGCGTGCGAGAACGAAGATCATGGGTTCGGATCCTGTATTTGAGATCACGGATGCGCACTGCTAAAGAGTCCTACACTAGGACGAAACGGCTGTCTACTGCTTCTCGGTTTTTAATGGTGGTCTAACACTGATCGATTCATGATCTCAATCAAAATATTCACTATTATTTCCTGTTTGTAATACAGTGAAGATCTTCATGCAATCATTATCATTGAATAGCTTTCTGATAATAAGACTGTGGAGCGACCAGTGGAGTTTAATCCGTGTAGGATGTGAGATATTTATCAATCGAAGATAATAGATGAGGCTTGAGCAACATCGTGAATATTGATTGAATGTAGACTTTAAAACAGTTGGAAGCCGGTTCAGCAGTCTAAAATTTATATATGTATTCGTTTGTGTCGGTCGTTTGAACCATCCCATAGATGTTTAGAACTGCGATTAATCAGTCTCTTATGGTGTCAGTGTATCTTGTGCGGACTCGTTCGATATTGCCATTAAGTCACAAGTATTATAAGCAGAGTCGGATGATGGCTAGCAGCAGCATGCAAAATACGTGTCCCATCCTATGTAGAATTCGTCAGGTGGATGTACCTGCTTCCTGAAGTTGATGTTTGTAATGAAAACTAAAAATTGTTGTTTGGTAAAAATGTATATTATTTACCATAACAATAGTAAATACAAGCAAAATGTATCATCACTGAGATGAATGGATAACTTTGTTTTAAAGAAGAAAAAAAGAATCACTTTCCAAAAACAACTATACTACGTTTTACCAATAACCAACACGTACACACAAACACTTCACTTATAGCCTTCTATGAATAAAATGCTAAATAAGCTGGAATGCGTATGTGTGCGAACATATGTCCTGGAAGATTGGTAACGGATGGATAGGCATATATTTATGTATAGCAGTCAGTATAAAACACAACAAACTAATCAAAGTTCTTGCACACAGCATTTATATAGAATACTAATCATAACAGTAATAATAGTGTTAAATATTATCTTTGAAAAAGAGACGAACAATCTAAGGATATGTTGTCGATTACATCATTATCGTTACTAAAACAGATAATAACAACAGTATAATGTATACTAATGTTACTGGTGTTACATCTACTACTTATAAGGCACATTAATTAAATAAGTAGTAAACACATAGATGATTGAGAAGTAAACAAGATAAGAATGAATAAGAGATTGAAAAGAAACCTAAACAATGTTATTATTATTGTATTATGATTTCTTCTTGTTGCTATGTGTATCATAGAAACTGTTTTATATGAAATAAAAGTGACAGAAAATTAAAATGTATTTAAAGTAAACAAAAGTAATCGGTTAAAGTTGAAGTAACCAGGGGATTTAAAAAAAAAATAGAGGATCGATTTTTAAAGTGTTCCCAGTCAGAGTATACAAAACCTACTTATCAATAATATATGGAAGACATTTCATTCTGGATAGTGTGTTAAATGAACTAGTTGATAAACAAATAAATGGGAATACAAGAAGTAATTGAAATGCATTAAGGGTAAGGGAATACAAGCAAAGATGTTGGATAAGTTACAAATGAGAAAAAAAACTACAGCTGCGTTTATTTGTTTTTTTTTGGGGGGGGGAAGGTAATTTTGAAAGCGTCCGCACACACACACATGGGTATGAGGGAAAATCAACACTTCGTTTTTGTTGTGATTTGATTTCTTCTATTCAAACAATTGACTTCGTCGAATAGTAGGTAAGATGAATTATTCGTTTTCCCTCATCCAAAGTAGTGTATTTATCATTATTCAGTGAATGGATTTTCAGAATTCCGTGATGATGTCGCTGAAAAATTGAGATCAATATTCATTAGAAATTGTATAAGTTAAAATTGGCACAGTAATTGATGAGAGTTAATCAGCTTAAACTTATTATTATTTAAACACATAAACATTAGTACAAGAAGGCATCAAATACATATGCGCAACATAAATCATTCGATTGATGTGAGGGCTGGGATACTGCCCGGATGCCCAGACCGAAGCAGGTGGTTTTATTAGGAAGCCACACCGCGAGCCTTCGACCTAAAGGTCTAATCCACAAGGCAGTGGAGCTATGTCAGAAGATACAGTCCCATGGTAGCCGGTGAACGATAGTTGGTTCATACTCCATTTGTTTCCTTAGAATCCTAGAGCCCATGTTCACCATTGGTTTGGAATCAGAGTTTTCTAACTCCCCTAGGTGGATCCTTCATATTGACCAACCCAGTTAAAGCGCCGGACATCCGACTTTCGTCCTCTCAATCTCGTAAACAACGCCCTGCCGCGAGAGGGTAGTGAGTAAGACTTCCTTGGCAGTGGTTGTATGCATGTAGCCATGTGAGAGTATTTCGAGAGGGAGAGTGGACTCTCTCCACTCTCGGTCGCACCAGGGCATTTGGGGGCAGTCAGTTTAAAATGGAATTTTTTATAGGGTTAATGCTTTAATTCGTTAAAAAGACATGTTACGTTCTGCATTTATCTGATAATTATATAACTTGAATGAGTTGTATAGACTATAAACCACTTTTTCCAATACAGTTGCCTAGTTATTCTTAGTCATTTTATTCAAGTACCAGTTTGGATTCCAGTATAAGAAGTACGTATATACATATCTAATCAAACGAACGCAGAATGTAACAATAAGCCTAGGTAGAATAAATAGATTGTGGCTAACAGCAAAATCCAAGAAGTGGGTTTCGTTCTACTTGGAACTCGTCAACTAGATACACCTGTCAAGAGTATCAACAACAGAACAGTTTAAATCATCCCAAATCCAATCAATAAATTTAAGCTTTCTCTTAATCAAGTTCTGGGTGGATATTTTTGACGAATTAGAAGAATAATATTGATGTGATTGTGGTTTAAATTTTGATACGTTTCCCCGTGTTTCTTAAACCAATAATATCGAAAGTTCTAAAAACTAATTTTTACTACTTATATCGTTGTCCCATAGTTGTTCCTGGATGTGGCCTATTCAACTTCCTACCATGCACACATCACGTTGTAATGGAAGATTTGCGTGCAGAATGCGGTGCCAATTTGCAGAAGGAGGGATATCAGGTGAACGGATTACTGATGCTAGTGCTAGTATACCAATGATGCATGTAATCACAGAACTTCATGTCAGTGAAACAGTTGGAGATGAAATCGCTTTACAGGATGAACAAAGTTTATCGGTTGCTCGAAAACTTGTTTTACTGGTTGATCTTGATCAGATAATAATACATACAACTAATGATTCAAACGCCTTTAAATGTGAAGTGATTGATTTGTTTATAAAGAATTTCTACGAAATATGTGTGTGAATTTAATTCCTTGGTGAGGCCTATTGTAATATAGCAGATTTAGTGTTGGAAATTGAGAGGATAAAAAGCGAACGTTCGGCGCTTTAACCGGGTTGTTGGATATAGAGTATCCACCTGGAGGAGTTGGAAAACTCTGATTCCAAACCAATGGTGCACATGGGCTCCAGTATCCTGAAGGAACCAATGGCGTACGAACCAATCGTTGGTCACCGGCTACCATGGGACTGCATCTCCTTCGTTACTCAACTGCCTTGTGGATCAGACTTTTAGGTCGAAGGCTCGCGGTGTGGCTTCCTAATAAAACCACCTGCTTCCGTTTGAGCACCTAGGCAGTATCACAGCTCTCACACATATCAAATGAGATTTGTGTGGCGCATATGTATTTGATGTCTTCTTGTACCAATATCTATGTGTTCAAATAAATAAATAAATAAATAATAAGGTGCAGATTGTCTGATTGTGATCCGTGTGATCATTGTGACCATTAGCTGGAGACGATGGGTGACGGCTCAAAATGGATTACAGTGATGTACATGTATTCACTTTCTTTCCCTTGGATCGTGAATTCAAGTTATGTACCAAGAATAAATTTATACTGATGACTGTATTCAGATGTGATAGCAGTAAAGAATTTTCTTCAAACAAATAGAATCTCTAGTGATGTTGCTTTTCTACAACATAAGTAGAGAGGTAGAAAACGTTGACCCTGAAATAGCACACCTTAAATCGCCTCATGGATTTCTCTCTCCAGATGCAAGGCTTTCTGAAGTACAGACCTAACTCATCCAAAACTATTAAAGAAGAGTCCTTGTATGACTGCCTTCAAGTGATCGTTTTTTTAGATCTGTAGTTACGCTGCAATTTAGCTAAGATAACCATTAATCCAGTATATTTTAAAAGCGCCTTAAGAAAAAGGAATTTCCTCTCGCTGTGCTAAGACGGTACGCCAACTTAAACCGGTGTACATACGTACCAAGTTATACTTTCCATTTGACTGACTGACCAACTGACCTTAAGAAGAACTATCTCTCCAAGGTGCAGGGAACTGGCAAATGACAACTACCCTCATATATCTAACAGCACACGAGATTAACTCAATTGACTGTGCCATATTTTACGTTAGGTTTTTTCTAATACATAGGAGCTATCGACCAAAAACTGACTAACAATCGAGTCATTTTTATCACTAATATTAATATTACGTTAAATAAAAACACAATTGATTACTACAACTAGTCAACAACTTACCATCTTCAGTAATATTATAATCTAATTTTAATTTATTCATACTATCTGTACAGTGAATTAATGAATTCGAGGAACAAGTGGATTCATTCTGTGTGGAACTATTCTTTCCAACTGTCGTCATTGTTGCTGTAGATAGTTCAACATTTCCATCCATTTTATGTGTATTATTACCATGAAAATCTGATTGATTTATTGTACTACAATTTAGATTAGTATTATCATGATTATTTTGATGAATCAAATTAGAATCTTCCATTGAATTTTCAACAGTTTTTCCCTTTGTCTTTTCTGCCTCATGAAGATGATGATCATCACCCGGATGATGACGACAACAACAAGTAGTGGGAGACGCAGCAGAGGTCAGTTCTTGTTCATTTTGTTTATCTTCCAAGTTTTGTGATTCTTTCTGGTATTGTTGTTGTTTTCTTAATTCATTCAATTGATCTTTTAAAGCTCTACATAATCCACTAAGTTTTTCTACTTGTTTCTTGGCATTCAATGATTCTGACATTTCTTTTTTATGCTGTTCAGCTAATTCCAACAAACTACGTTGACTAACTTCCCATTTACCTTGCCATGCAACGGCTTCACTCTCACTTAATTGAATACGTTTACCAAGCTAGGAATGAAATATCAAAAAAAGTCTAATTATTACGTAATCTAATTTTGATTTAGATTATGAATTGATCAATGTTAGACCATCGTTAAAAACCTGGAAGCGGTAGACTTGCGCGAACGCTTAATTTCTAGACCGTTGTGCCGACACCGAAAGGTATTAATGTCTAACTTCAACCGATCCACGATATTGTGCCACTATCTTCCATTGTCTTTGGTGAGTGACTGCGTCACACCCGACACGGATTAGCTCTACTGGTCACGCATACACTATAATTTAGTTTTCCACTCATTTCTGTTAGGGATGCAGAGGAATATACCAATCATTATCATGTTAAGTCTAACGATATCCTTGGACTTTAAATGGACATTCCCTATTGGCCATTATTTATTTCACTCGTTAAATATTGTACAGATGTTGTTTTCTATTTTTATGGTACGATGTGGTCTGTTTGGTTGGTATATAAACAGAGTATGTTTGAAATATAACGATTCATAACTCAGAGGTTGTAACTTGCATTTTGGACTCAACTGGCTGGGATAGACGGTGGAACAGGGCTAATCGGGTCTCTAGGTCGTCCTTACGTGTTTTACGTGTCACTGGTTCGATCGATAAATGCGCTGCGCATCTAGCCTGCAGTCCACCCGTTACAACAATTTCAAACAATCTTCTTTAAAAAATATCTACGGTAATAGCCTGTACCAAGTGTCGACAATATTACATTCAATTCAGTCCGTTAGCCTTCCTTCCCTATGATGAGATTACTAATCCTGTTAGTTAAATTTTTCACTACTGTGACCTTCGTACAACAAATATGTGCTGAACCATAATGTAAGTCTATCTCAGAATGTACTGATTTCCAGAATATGGTGAGTTTTAACTTTTTATTACATCTTCTTTCAATCAAACAATTCAGGAACGCTAGTTTTTGATCCATGGATACCATGTCCCCGCGGTTAGCTTAATGCTATCCAATATATTCCTCACATTTTAAAATATTTATTCTAAGCCATTTCGTTTAATGATGATAAAAATGCCGTCTACATACTGTAACCAAACTTCAGATGGATCAATACATTTTGTGATCACATTAATTTCTAAGGGATGAATGAATAAACTTATTACAATCTGAGAAACGAGTGAAACCATTGCTACACTTTCTATCTGTCTGTAAGGATCTCCTCAGAATCAGAATGTGGATGTTGCTATTACTGACACTCATCTTGTAAACAAGCCAAATATTTATTAAGTAATCATTCCGGCCTACCGCTTCATACTAAACTCATATCACTTTGTACATTGTGTAATATGTAACTAAACATTTTATTTGATGCGTAATTACACCATTATTTCTTTCATCTTATGTTATTACAATTTACCTTTAACAAGTAATCTGACGATTTCATTCCACATACAAACTTATTCATGCTAACATCGCATCAAACTAGTCAATGCAAGATTTATAATTATAGTGTGGGAGGATTTGTAAAGATTGTAATATTTCCATAGTTGAAATCATGAATCAATCAAAGTTAGACGACCAGTTGGAACGTGAAAGCCCCGAACGGTCGTCTGGCCTTAGTATTGGACTCCTCAGAGATGCGCATCCACAACTCTGCATGTGGGAATCAAACCCGGGACCTTCGGTCTCGCGCGCGAATACTTAACTTATAGACCACTGAGTCGGCCGGCATCCAAAGATGTTAACATCTAACTTCAGTCGACCCATGAACTTGAGAAACCCTTTAACCATTGAATGAGGTGGATAACTTTCTCACATCCGACACGGATTAAACTGTAGTAATCACAGCTACTCACTAAAACTCCAGAATCTATATCTTGAAGCTGGTCACTAGTGTACATATGATTGTTATCAATGTGAGAATTTCTTGGAGTTTTGTTCTCTGGGTTGGATGGTTTTGTGTATTTTTGGTCTGCCGTAGAATCGATGGAGTACTGGTCCATTGGATTGCATTCTCCATTGGTCTTGTTTTGTTATTTCTCCCGCTTTGACTATCCAGCTCAGAGAACAAAGCTGTTGGGGACGATAGATCCCCAAAACTCAAATTTTGTAATTTACTTATCGATTAAATGTGCAGATAGGTCAATTGATGAACTATCGATTAAATGTACAAATAGGTCAATTGATGAACTATCGATTAAATGTTCAAATAGCAGTCAATTGTTGATTAATGTTCAAAAATCTTCCATGACAATATCGATTGTAAATATTTGTATAAATACGCTTGACTTGTATGCTTGATCTGATCTGCCTGCCTGACTTGTTATCTGCTGTTTGTCTGTAGAATACACTTTCTACACCTTACCCAGACTTCTTGATCGAGTTAGCAGAGTTGGGGACAACGGACCAGAATAGACTATCGAGATTCTGAACCCTTGATCCGATCGATAAGTCACTGTCATATAATCGGTTGACTCTTGCGACATGACAAAAGCTCCATCAAAATCACCCACCTGGGCTACAAATCTTCTCCACCATATGAGAATTTGTGGTAATTGTAGTATTTTTACAGTTGAAATCACGAACAACCTTGTTCTATTTTACTAAAAAATCCTAAGAAATGTATTTACTATCGATCCAGCGGAAGAGAGAACCCGAAACGAATTTATTGCAAAGAACATTGCTTATTCAATTTAGATATCATATTCCAATTTTTAGACTATACATATATATGTACAGTGAACCAATCAGCAATCGCTAAAATGATGAGTAAATATGATTGGTCAAAAAGTGACTTCATTTGCAAGGTATGAAACACAAACCACTTACTGATTGGCTTACTTCCTTAAAAAATATATATATATATATATATATATATATATATATATATACATATATATAGTGGGACGCCTCAGCAGTGCACATCCACGACCTCGCCTTGCGTTCACGCGCGAGACTGATAGGTCCTGAGTTCGAATCTCGCGGGGCGAGGTCGTGGATGCGCACTGCTGAGGGGTCCCACAATATAACGAAACGGCCGTCCAGTGCTTCCAGGTTTTCCATGGTGGTCTAGCTTCAATCGACTCACGATCTCAACCATTGAAATTACTAATAATATCCGCAAAACCCTTCTGACATATATATATATACTGAAAAAAAATACATTTTTCTCACCTTCTCCATTTCCTCTTTAGCAGCATCAAACATTTTCCGACTATCTGACATTGTTTTATTGAATGATTGATATTTCTCTTTATAGAATACAATCTGTATGTATGAATGGATGAAATGAGAGTTACGCAACAACAACAACAACAAATGATGATGATGATGAATAGAATAAAAGAAGGAAACAAAAGTATAGTAAGTAAAAGAATGAATAAATAAATTAGTGAGGATTCTTGAGAATAAAACTAACGTAATAAGTAATATTAAACATTTTTTTCTATTGATAAAGTAACTTGATGAATAAATCCAAAGTAATATAACTGTACTGATGAGAAACATGAAAACCTTCTTCATGGTCATGAATTAGATATCAAGAAGGTTAAGGTTTTTCTTATAAATTAACATTAGTTATCAGATAAGAATTCTAAAAACTCAATATTATAATCTTAATGAATTGAATAGCAAAGTAATGATGAATCCATCTAAGTATAATAATCTATTTTATTGTACTTGTGAAACTTGGTTGTAATGACCATATTTATATGTCCTTAACTTTATTCACTCGTTAAAATGTATCGGGAAAGTTAGAAAAAAAGTGTAAAGAGTTCTAGTGAGAAGTAGTGACCAGTGGAGTTCAACCACGTCTCATGTGAGATAGTAACTCACTGAAGACAATGGTGAATGTTTCGCTCAATTTCGTGGATTAGTTGAAGTTAGACATTAACACCGTTGGATGCCGGCTCAGTGGTCTAGTGGTTAAGTGCTCGGGCGCGAAACCAGTAGGCCCTGGGTTCGAGTCTCGCAGGGGGCGAGGTCGTGGATGCACACTGCTGAAGAGTCCCACAATAGGACGAAACGACCGTTCAGTGTTCCCAGGTTTTCCATGGTGGTCTAGCTTCAACTGACTCATGATATTGACCATTGAAATTACTACAATCTCCACAAAAACCCATCTGATATAAATCTACTAAAGATGATACTTTTTTCCATTTTATTGATTAGGGTATATAACATTAAAAAGGAAGATTTCGAGTTCTTAATAATCTATTCAAAAAAATGCAAAATTACATTAATTCTATATATAGTTGAGACAAATGGCATCAATTTAAAACAACCTATGTATATAAAAATAGAACTATATACGACCTGTAAGCAGAGATGGATGGTGGCTAGCAGTGAAATCCAGGACGTGCGTTTCGTTCTATTTGGAACTCGGCCCGGAGTGAACATTAACTCTGAGATGGAAGTACATTCAGCTGACGAGTTCCAAATAAGACGAAACGCGCGCCCTGGTTCCATTGCTATCCATCATCTATATTTGCTTATAATGCTTGTAACTTAAGGCAATACGCACAGTATGCACATTTGCTAATAAGAGACTGATCAATCGCAGCCCTAAGCATCAACAGGAAGATTCAAGCAAACAATACCAAGTGAATATATACCACCTGCTTGTATGAACACGGCTCACATTAGTATTGTTTCAGTTCTGGTTCCAATTTTGTTGCTTTCCTCTTTTCATATTATAGTTTGCACTGTCTTCAATGATATTATTATCCTTAATTTTACATTCATCTTTCTTATCTCACACAAGACTCTTATTCATAATGATTTATAATGTCATTATTATTACTACTACAGCTCATTTATTTATTTATTTGAACACATAAATATTGGTACGCAGAGGCACCGAATACATATCCGCCACATAAACTAATTAATTTGTGTGTGGGCTGTAATACTGCCCGAGTGCCCATACCGAACCAGGTGGTTTTATTAGGGGGCCACATTCGGAATCTTTGACCTAAAGGTCTGATCCACAAGGTAGTGGAGAAACGTCAGGAGATGCAGTCCCATGGTAGCCAATCACAAATAATTGGTCCACACGCCATATGTTCCCTTAGGACACTGGAGCCCATATGCATCGTTTGGTTTGGGAACAAGGTTCTCCAACCCCCCTAGGTGAATCCTCCATATCCACCGCCTCGGTTAAAGCGCCGGATATTCGCTTTTCATCCTCTCGATTTCGTAAGCACCCTCGACGCGAGAGGGCAGTGAGTAGGACATCCCTGGCAGTGTCTGTATACGCGTGGCCATGTGAGAGCATTTCGAGAGGTAGAACTAACTCTCCCCAACCTCATCCATTTGGGAGCAAGACTCCTATTCATAATGATTTTTGATGTCATTATTATTACCGCAACAGCTACGACACAATAATTCCTAATTTGTATTAAATAATTTTTGTTTACATACAATTTCAGTTTATTGATTAGAAATCATTACCTTAGGGCATAAAATTTTCCGTACCTTCCATTTATATCTCTTTCTTAATATTATTAACCATGTTAGTTTTTATTAGTAATTTGTAGTAGTTACAACTTAATCGACGTGAAATTTTTTATTTTCAATGCAGAATCTGAATGAATTCATCTGAACCATGTTGGTAGATATAGACTACTTGGTTAGGGTCCGCGCGAATATCATAACCAATGGCTGGAGACTGTGGGTGACATGACTCACAATCGATCAGAATGGCGTCCGTGTATAAACACTCTGTCTTCCCTCAAACCGTCAGATTAAAATCGCTTCATATCTTTGCTTCTACGAACTAATTCTTTCTTCCTGTATTATATCGTTATACACAATCCTTCTTTTATATATTACCACCACTGAATTAAATACTTCTATGACTCCGGTGTTCATCTTGTTGTGCTAATGCAGTATGGCAACTTGGAGCGATGCACATGTGTCTGATCCTACGTTGTAGCTGACTAACTGACTGAACTTTAATATTTTATCAATTGTAACTTCGGATCCGTTGGCCGGACATTATTAGCAACAACCTACTGTGGGAGAGAACAAACCAGATCCCAGCGGAGTAAGAAAACAGGAAGAAGCGCTGGAAGTGCATAGGACACACATTGAGGAAAGCACCCAACTGCGTCACAAGACAAGCCCTCACATGGAATCTCCAAGGCCAAAGGAAAAGAGGAAGACCAAAGAACACATTACGCCGGGAAATGGAAATAGACATGAGAAAAATGAACAAGAATTGGATGGAACTAGAAAAGAAGGACTAGGACAGAGTGGGTTGGAGAATGCTGGTCGTCGGCCTATGCTCCATTAGGAGTAACAGGCGTAAGTAAGTAAGTAATTAACATCAAGATATGTAATATTAATTTTAGATTTATAAATGTGGACACTAATGATGATGAAGAATAAGACGAATTCATTTGAAAATGATAGTTTATAAAATCCAATACTCATTGTTTATACATAATCAATCATTCATTTATCCTGATTATCTCTTCTTATTGGCTAAAATTATCAAGATCTCAACATCCATTCAGATGATATAATACTGTTAAAGCAATTAATCTCACAAGATTATTCAATATGTATTAATCAATGTTAAAATCATACTAGTAACAATCATCGCAAGTGTGCTTTTTTTTAATGACTAAATTTTGTGCATAACTTTTGCTCTTTACTGATTAGTTATCACAGCACGTTACATTTAGTTTGGTTTTTTTTAATTTTCTGTGTGCTCACAGTTATGTCTTCGTACTGAGTTGTACTGTCCTCAATCGTTTTGTATAAATATCAAGTTTTACTAGACTTTCGCTTTATTTCTATGTTGATAGATTAATATTGAAGTGTTGTGTCCAAGCTTCACTTATCGAGTGGGTAATAGAATAGTTCAACTGTTTTGTAATTAGCAATTACTATTGGTCAGTGCCGAAACTCAAATATCAAGATAGAAAAAATACTGACTAGAGTATTGTTGTTCAAAGCAACGAAAAGTAATCATTGCTAGTAGGAGTTTTGAATTATCTCATTGTTGGTTATCAGAACTGAATTTTCGATCAAATTTTGTTGAATTATACTGGAATCTTTTGTACATCTGAAATAGATTTTAATTAGCAGTGGAATATAAAACGCGCGTTTCTTCCCGTTTAAGTCTACACAGATGGGTGTACCTGTATCCTAGTGTTTGTGTTAACATTGTGGCATACGTGAACGAAGGCGACTGAAATTTGGTGCTGGATAGCACCAACAGGATAATTCAAACGCTTATCAATAATGATATAAACTATATACTCATTGAACAAGTTAGTGACTACTTAAACTTGGTTAATCAGTGGATAACATGTTGATTTTAGAAGCGAAATGTATTGGGCTTTATGTTATAGTGTGAACATCAATACTAGGATGGAGGTACATCTAGGTGACGTGTCCAGGACAAGACGAAATGTGTGCATCCTGGATTCTATTACAAGCTAGGACCGGTGTATTATTTAAAAAACCCAGTTCAGGTCAACATGTGAAGTGATTTTTTTATAGCTACGTAACACAAAGAGTTTTATGCATTCAAGTAACTTGGTTTCAATAATAAGGTAGTCAATTTTTAGTGACAATTTATGACTTTTAAATTGAAACAATTCCAGATAAAGTGGATTATTGAAATTTAACTGAGTTCTTCAGTCAGATAGAAGCCGCTCTTGAGAGATTTAAATATCCTAAATTCCCCTTTACCAAATTGCTTGAGTGTATGGGTAGTTAACTACATAATATAATTAAACAATAAACAAATCGCGTAGCTCGAATCTACTAATTAGACCAATTTTTAATAGTAAGAAATAGCTGTTTAAATGGTCTTCATTAGGAGGGCGTACCCACAATTTTCGGGTGGGTTGATAATTCCTATGATATCTAAACTCCAATAGCCTAGTTTCACAGTTTCAAACATAACCAATGAGCTATTTGGACTGAGTGACTTTCAAGACAGCTTCATGTATAACTCCATACCGTAATTGGTATCTTTCTTTAAGAATATTGGCAACTTAAAAGAGAGAAAGACATAGAGTCAAGAATATCATAAAAAATAACACATTTTCTACCTGTTCTTTAAGTTTGTCTTCAATGGTTTTTTGAATTTCTAAACGATTCTTCAAATATTTCACTTCCTCTTCTAATGCAAGAATTTTCTGTTGACTTTTCGCTTTTTCCTGATCCAGTAAACAGTGTGCTTTGTTTAATTTTGCTTCAGATAATTTCAATTCTAAACTACGTGTTTCAATGAGCTGTAAGAATGAGTGAAAATATGGGGTATGATAAGGAATATATACATGTATGTGTGCGTGTATTGAGACAAACGTTTTAATTTACTATGCGTAATATGATATACCTTGAAGCTCTACATCAAACATTTAGATTTGAGTAGCTGGGTAGTATTGGCAAATGGTCTCAAGCGAACTGAGTATGAATCCAAACTGCATGCAAAAACCCTATACTTATCACCTACATTATTGTGTCAGTAGACTAAAGTTATCGGACAAAAGTTAAACTACCTGCTGAAAGAGATATTCAAGTCTCTATTATGCAAAGTGTAATTTGACTCCATAAGGAGGATTTTAATACTTTGAAGTAACTGGGCCTGATCCTAATGTTAGTATGTTAGTCTCATATAAATTTGTTGCAAACTGATTTAACCACTTGTTTTGAATAAAGCTGTTAAGGTATACATGGTGCAACTACTTAGCTTTTTGTTGAGTTTCGACGGTTTTCATATACAAAATCTGAGCTCTCGATTGAGAAGAAAATCCCTTACACACCACGTATTCTTAAGCTTTGTTGATTAGAAGCCAATTTCAACCAGACAATTCAATAACATACGACCTACCAAAAATGTTTGTCAACGCAAACCGAGAGGAAAGTGATTGAAACTAATCTGGAACAAAATAGTGAATGGAAGAGACTGTAGCCATGCAACTCCTAATTTTGAGTTAACACGAACCTAGAAGCTTTGAGTATGAAATACGATTATCTTGATAAGCCCGAAAATGGAGTTCATTACTTACCTACATGGCTTAGATTAATGGTTAATGACTTTATGACTTCAGACCATGTCTCATTTTGGCTGTTCGTAATTTTTTACAAGCTTACTCTTACCCTAACGGATATAACAGTTCTGGAAAAACTGTAACTGAGGCATTTTATACATGTATATCCATATGATAGAAAGACAAGGCAGTTAAAGAAGAATTCATTTTGATCGATTTGAAGACATGTGGGTTGAATTCATCATAGATCGGCTTCAGTCAGAATACTTTTTAAAATCAAGAAGTACTAAAACAAGTATTTTATCTTAATATAGGGATTGGGAGAAGTGCGCAACAACGTCCTCACTAGAGATTGAATACAGTACTTTTTCCTATTGCGACGAATTCCCAATTCAATGATCTGATTGTATAATCTCAACTAGATAGAAACAGCACTGTGATATTCTCGTGCTTTAAACGATGTGCCAACTGAAACTAATGTGTGATGATTGTAACCTAGATATCAGGTCTGCATTTTCATAATCCCTTCCGCTAACTCAGAAATTTTCGAATTGGCGAAATCCGATGAAAAAGGGGGTGGAAAACAGAACGTAAATGAAATAGATTACTTAAGGCATAATACTGATTAGTCATGCAGACCACTAGACAGACTAACCTTATCTACATGTTCTTCACGTTTCTCATGCTGTTTAATAAATTCACCCAATTTATCAGCTAATTCTTGATTCTCTTTGCGTAATTCCACATTTTTCGACTGATATTCACATAATTGATTTTGGATACTTGTTATACTCGTTTGAAAATGATCCGAAACTTCCCGACGTTTTTCATCTTCAATACGTGCACGTGACAAGCTCTCTTCCTGAAATAATAAGGATACAAATTTAAAACAGTAGAAGTTAGTTTTGTCTATAATCTGACTTTTTCACAACTTTTGTGTATTACTCCATACTACTTACTAATATTCAGTAACCCGTTTCATTTCTTGTAAAGTTTGGACATACAGCGTATAACGTATATATTTGTAACCAAATAATATATTTAAGTATTTACCTAAACTGGTAACATTCACTCCATTTATTATTACAGTTAAATTCTCTAAACACTTGTAACAGTCACTTTCTTGAATCTTTGTTAAAACTCAACAGCTTCCATATTTTTGTGCTCTTAGTCTCCCTGTTCTATTGTTGATAGCCACAGTTGCCAGGTATCATTTTCAATGTCATATGCTGTGATCAATCCCTCCCTAGTTAATGCAGGAATTAATGCCGCATCCAAATATACAGGCGCGTTAACCACTACATGTACCTCATGAGTTGAAGTTTGTAGAAAACTTATATATATTTTGTAAAGGATATGATTTGAGAAGGAAGAATCAATTCATATAATAGAAATTGTAACGGGATTTTGAAAGTCGCTATCTAAAATAATATGTGGTTGAGACCGACTCTGATCCTTGTCAGCAGATGTCTCTAACTGTTAGTCACGATAATCGCGTTAACCACGACCACGCAGGCTGCACCTACAAACATAGTATCATTTATGCTACTGAGGACTATGGAAAACCAGCACATATATTCCCTTCTATTTAAGATCTATTGTTCCGATGAATACCTGATTCATTGGGACATTAGGGTTTGCAAATTGTATTGTTGTGCCTTAGATTGTAAGGCATGAAGGTCTCTATCAAGTTATATAACAAGATACATTCCGCTTAATGATACTACCCAAATAAACGTGAAACGAAAGAGGTCAAATGAGGTTCGAATTTATGAGTTAACGATAGGAAATTAAGGTGACTTAGTGATTGAGGGATTCTGCTTTCAACTACTAGGTTACAGATTCGAGTCCCGTTCCACCTCTCTCAGTTTGGAAAGCTGAGTAATACCACGAGCCCTTTGACACACACGAATCTGTAATTGGTGAGTTATATTATCTATTAAGCCATTGCTTCAAAAGATATAAACCACTTCAAGATTTTTTGTATGTATTAAGGATACCATATCACCAAATAAAATGTACAATAATTTTCCTTCAGTCAATTTCAACACATTTTCTTGGTTTCTTTTAATAAACTTTCAGTGTATGCCAGTTGTATTTAGTTACTTCATTCTCAATACATTTTCCTTGTAATCAAGAGTTCATTATAACTATGTATTTAGTGATAATTATTATTATTATTATTAGCTTTATTCAATATTATATTATTGGTACAATATAGAATTTTCAGCACAAAGTATTTCAACAAGTTTCCGTTTCTTTCTTCTTGGTCGGTCCTCGCGATAAATACTGAGTGGTCGCCAGCTAGATGTTATCAATCCAGTAAATGAACATGGGAATGATGTACATTCTTTTCGTTGTATATTGCCAGCAACCATATTCTCTCTTTTTGAGCTTTTTGTAACTTTGATAACGAAAGGTTGTACATTTTTCAGAAACGCAGCAGAATAGGTTGTGCGATTAATAGACATAATAATATATTAAAACAAACAAAAATAGATAACTTGTTGAAATATCTCGATGGCAGGAACAGGTAGCCCAGATGCTCAAGCAGGCCGCCGTTTATGACTGCAATGGTCAGTTAATAAAACTATATAATCAATCATTACTCAATTGGGATATAACTAAATTAGCTTGTATGTACATTCAGTCTGCTTTGATTTTATTCAATAAATCCTCTTAACAAGGTCATTCTTTTGGAGTAGCTGGAGAGAGGAGCTAGAAGTGAATGGAACTATTACACGTAGTATGGCAGTTGCTTTTAGATTTACCATCGTATATTCTGCATCCATAACAGTATTGTTTGCATTATTTTTGGTATACTTACAACCAAAATCAGTCAAACATTAATGATGTGAAAAGATGCATAAAGTACAAGCAACAACAACCATGATGTATTTCACAAGTTATTTTAACTCATTACTAATCCGGAAATTCGATCAATCAGTTTTCATAACAAAACAATAAACTACATCCATGTATGTGTTTGTACAGTTTAAGTTTTAAGATTTAACTTTCTTAATATTAATAAGAACTAAAAATTTGATGAATATCTGAAACTCATAGAATTATTCATGTAACACTGTTTAGTGCCATACTGATTGACAAATACATACAATCAGCTATTTCTTTCTTATTTTAAGGTAGAGGAAAGTAAGGAGTGACCAAACCAAAACGTGGCATCAGTTCATAAAGTCACTAACTTCTGATCTGAGCCATGTTGGTAGATACAGACTACTCGGTTAGGGTCCGCGCGAATACCGTAACCAGTAGTTGGGATCTAGGAGTAACATGGCTCAGAATCGATCACAATGACGTAGGAGTATACACTCTTTTTGTTCCCTCAAACCATGAGATTAAAATTACTTTATACATACAATAAGAGAAACGTTAGTATACTTAAAATCTCTACATGAGAAAATTCTAGAGTTTTCTCCAAGTATCCGCTAGCGCAGATTGGATAAAAAATAGTCAATTAGCGTGCTCCAACATGATCCTGCGCAGAACGTGCTTTAATCTAATCTATATTCCGCTAGCATATGCTCATCATATTGTGCCAATAAAGTATGGCAACTTGGACCGATGCATACATGTGCCTGATCCTACATTGTACCTGACTGACTTTAAGGTAAAACCAAATATTACATAATAAGATCTAACGTTTGAACTACAAGACAACTATACTTCATACTGAGTTAATTTAGATCACCTAACAAATCTAAATGATAATAATCAATATCTTATGTAAAATCTGAAAGTTCTACTTCTGATCATGAAAGTAAACAAACTGAAAAAAGTTTACAACTAAATAAAACTGAGATTTTTAATATTACAGAATTTTAATTACCTTCAATAAAGAAAATTTTACTTTAGTAAAAATGATTAACTAAAAAGAAAACAATAAACAAAATTCCAACCTGAATGATTTTATTTTGTTTTTGTAATTCACGACATAAAGTTTCAAGTTTATCCTTTTGTAGAATTAGACGATTACGTTCATTCTGGAGTTGATCACGTTCAACACGCACCTTAAATGGAAATACATATATATAAGCAATGCATAGGAATAGTTTTAAAATTTATATTCAAGTCAAATGGCAAATGAATTACATTATCATTTAAGTAAGTCAAATAGAAAATTGTTATATCAGACGTGTTGTAACCGTCAAAGTGCTGTCATACTTAAAACTGGGAACCATTGTGATATGACGGATTGCTTAAAATATTTCTTTTTCTCTCACTCTCGGTTATACTATGATAATATATTAATACGATAATGAGGCTAGTCACGTTATATTATAATTAAGATCCACGACCCAGAATACATACTAGATAATACTTCATTCAACACACTAACAAACAATCAGTTTCAGTGAGTCCGAGTGGAAATCAATGAGAAGAAAGGAAATTATATATCTAATAGTCAGTAGGCTGTCTCTGGTTGTCCACACTCAGAGACCAATCATATTTCACTTCCACTAAAACAAATCACATTGTGATTTCCACAATACAAGCAAGAACACGAATATTAGTGAAGATTTTATTGACTGTTCCAAAATAGATCGACGATACTTACTGTAATCTCAGATAACTGGTACTGACTACTTGAATTTACAAATAGTACGATGTAATTAAGAACACGAAGACGATAAAATAAATCAAAATATATATCTGATTACACTAATCTGCGTATGATTTATTCTGATTAACAATCAGATCTGCATACGTTAAGCTGAGTAGCATTTGGTAGTAATTAGCCGATAACTTATTGTATGCACATAGATTTACACAAAATTCATAATATTTTAACTTATATGATTAATTCTTTATAAAATGCGGTCATATAACAGAGACGATTTGGAAAACTAAACAATTATACACGTCAATTGAGCTTTGATCAATTAAGTCTTTGCTCATCATATTAAGAAAAATGATTAATTTGACAATCATAATTAGGTTGTGAAAAAATAGTTCAGTATGGAAATACGTAATAAATTATAAGTTTATGAACAAAAAAGTTTGATCGTGGTTTACTATTAGACTAGGTAACCGATAAGATGAATAAAAGAACTTAAGAGCCAGTTAGACTATACTTTGGTTATTCCTCAACTATTTACTACTCCTCAACAACCTGATCTAGAGGTTGATATCATGATTTTAAGTCTCAACGAAGGGGAAGCATAACTGACTTAAGACAAAGAGTAGCTAGGCTTGATGAACTATTTTCATAAATTTTTAAAGACAGTAGTTTAGTTTCAGCAGTAACAATAATTAAGGTATTAGCTAAATTCTGGGAGCTGCATATGATTACGTCACACTAGATGTAAACACTGATCATCATAGTTCATAAGAAAGAACTGAAATCTTCCCGTAATGGATACAGAGGGATTAGTTTGACTAAAATTCTCCGAGAAGTTAGAATATAAAACCATCTAACGTTTAATCGGAGTACAGAAACACCAAACTAGACTCATTTCAAACCTGGACATGAACATGCAGGTCAAATATTCACTTTTGGCAGGTTTTTGGACATACACAAGAGCGAGATGTCCACCTTCTAACCATATATGTTATATATGGTTGAATGACCGAATAAGTAATGCCAATGCCAAGTGCATGATATTGGGTGAAAGCAACAAACCAACTGATAATAACACAAGCCTTTGTCGTCCGAGTTGGAGACCAAGCACTAAAATCCCTAAACACTGCCTAAATTGACATGGAACGTAGGCTGACAAGATTAGTTCGGCAAATTGATAATTCCTCTAGTTGAACGCTCAAAAATGCGTGAAGTGTTAAAAGAACGCTTTAAAGTTCGTCCATATACAGAAAATCGAGGGTATTTATAGTATTTCAGATTGTCTTATGCTTCTGGAGGGTTCTGGAACCATATTAAACATGGTAGCAGGTTAGGTTAGTATCCAATCAGAAATGTGACACATGGATTCCCACTTTTTAGATGCTTCTGAGATACTTCTATTTAACGCTGATTGGTTAAAAAATTTCCAGCGTTTTCAGGACCCCTCTGAACTTTTTCGAGGAACATTTTGGTCTCTCCAACAGAAATAGCTACATACTATTTAGTAGTATTGACATGAACTGTATATCTAACGATGTAAACGTGCTTGTTCAGACATATAGGCTGATAGAAGCATTGAAGGGTAGTGAATTGACATATAAACCAAATTTCCTTAGTTTCAAAAAGCTAGAAATTTAAACTCAGTCCATGATATAACTGTCAACTGAACAAACAATAAATGATCTATATTCCGTAATTTAAAACCGATCTATCAAAAGAAATGCACACTAATATTTGCTAAATAACGTCCAAGATATTTGACGTTAGAGTAAACTTGTCGCAAACTTATGAAGATTATTAATGCAGAGATTCATTTTGTCGTTATAATAAATACATTATAGTTTACTTAAATTACGAGATCGTACTAATAAACACTCTAAGCGAGTTTAAACTCATGGGCTCCAGAAGGTCGGCATATGGCAATATATTAATAACTGTTCAGTTTGGTCACAACAAAAACTGGGGAGAATGTATAGTGCCACCAACCCCTGTTACTTAGGAATAAACAGTGAGATTATAAATTATGGACGACCTTTGAGCTAAGCTAGACTGACCTTGAATGTCCACCTAATATCTAGGACCAAATGAGAGTTCTAAACCTGTGTGCGGAATGAGAATTATTATTTACAGTTGATGATTAACGTTAGGAATTAGATTTCGGGTTTTCATCACGAACCGACATCAGCTATAGTGCCAAAACTATTTAGCCAAATTGGATGAGTGAATTTCGCGCCAATATCCTGGGCCTATTATCATATACCTTGTTGGCTCATCCATAAATTATAATCTTGCCGAGAAAACTACTTCGCATACCACGCAAGTTTTAGCATATAAGTGTTGATGAGAATATAATTCACGGACGACCTTTTAATAAAGCTAAAAGAGATTTGAAAACGTCCACCTTATTGAGGTTAAGTGAGAGTTATATATTAGTGTGAGGAATTAGGATTAGTGTAAATGTGGACGTTAGAGCTAAGAATTAGATCTAAGTTTATCACGGACCGACATCAGTCACGATGCCAGAATACAATTTGGCCCAGTGGATGAGTGAATTCCGTGCTAAAATCCAAGACTTAAAGTTCTAAATTTGATTGACTCGTCAACAGATTATAGTCTCGCCAGAAGTACTAACCCATATTGAGAAACTTTAAAGTGCTCAAAATATATCTGCAACAGTGTCAGCATATTGACATTGTGCACATAGCGCAAAAAGTCTCACCCTAATAATGAGTGATAGCTTATGTTACTTAGGTAACTACAGTTAAATTTAACAGGAAGTTTGTGTCAAGTGAACAACCTAACCTACCTGTTGTATACTCTGCTCAAACTGTTTGTTTTTTGAAGAGTTTTCTTTCTGGTTTTGATAAAGTTCATAGTATTTCTGACATATATATTCAAACTTGACATCGCTTGAAGCATTTTGAGGAAGTTCTTTAAGTGTCAAATCTAAATGCTAAAGTGAAAAGCTGAACCCCACAAAACCACCTATCAATTTAGTGCGTTTCTTCTTTTGTTTGCTGTCATGATGCGTTTCTATATCCTGGGTAGCTGAAACTTCGTCCTTATCAACCATCTATGACTTAGAACTTGATCGTAGCGTACTTGACGTTTTCACCGCGACAACGAAACGCTCTATCCTACCAAATATTAAACGCTGAATGGTGTAAACGGAGTCACTGTTTCTCAAAATCTGCCTTTAAACCTCCATAAGGGCTTCTGATATAATTATAAGTTTAGTGGCCCTGATATCTGACTCCAGTTAGGTCGTTCGATAACTTAATAAATGATTGTTACTGAAATATGCATTCCATGTACTCTCGTACGTAATTATCGACCTAATTCTCATCACTGAATAACGGAATTAAGTAAATCAAATGCAAGAATCGAGTTTGAGTACTTATATTTCGTACACCCATTGATCTGAACAGACAATCAAGGAAACGAAATAGAGAGGGCATGAAGGAGAGAGAAAAGCAAAACTAAATGACTTTCAGTGGAGAAGACGAGTTGTCAAACCCAATTTAATCAAGCGTTACTCAGCATTTATATTCAGATCAAAAAACAAATTACAGACACTTAATGAGGTCAAAGCTTGACTTGACCTGTCCGGAAACTAGAGTAGCCTATGTGTACGGCAGTGTATTTGTGAGTGATAATTTATAGGTCATACTATATGTTCACAAACCTGAATGGAAGGTTCAAAGTCCTGTTTTTATAACCAAAAGGTTTACGGTCAATAATGGTATTTGCGCGACTATAAGAATTAGTGAAAAAGTGCGAGTAATCACGAAGACTAACTGGAAAACAAGCCTATTTTAACTATTCCCACAGGAGTAAAAACCGTTACCTTGATCCTTCTTAAACTTGAAATAATCGAAGGTTAGTCTGATATATATAACTGGATCTGACCTACTTTTACCGAGAGAACGCTATTGATTCAATGGAAACAATCATTATTATAACCAATTGTACCATTGATTGTTTTACTGTGCTCGTTTGTTTAACTGTGCTAAAGACAGCCATATTCCTCCTTTATTACTCTCCATTACTTTTCCGCGGATTGTGACCTCGTACGTTCGTACTCCTGCCCGACGATTCCACTTGTACTCCTTCTGGCACGATCTGGGTATTCGTTCGATACCCCGAGATCGCCAACGAAATAAATCTGGTTACGCTCCATCTTCGCCTTCTGATTTGTTTGGAAGGCGTTTCCTTGTAGTGGTGTTCATAGTCAATCACGACCCGACACCACACCACAATATTCAGCGATATTAGTTCCCGGTAAGGAATTCGACGACTGATTTTGTCTAAGGTCTTGGCAAAGTTTGAAGGGAGTTTAGGCTCACAATGGTTTGACCCCACTGAATGTTTGAATAGTTTAGGCGAATAACACCGTACTCCCTGATCTCACTGAAAAGAATTGATGCTGAAGTTGAAACAAAGTAGAGCTTATAGCTGAGTGTTTAACCAACTAGACCACTGAGCGGACATCCAATGATGTTAGTGTCTAACAACAACCAATCAGTGAAATCGCGCGACCAACTTCCATTGTACTCAGGTAGATACCTGTCTCTACCCGACACGGATTAGCTCCACTGGTCACGGCTCCTCACTATAACTCCGAGAATTCCCTTACGAAGCTACATGTGCTCACTAGTGACTAGCTTCGCGAGGAAATTCTCGGAGTTCTAGTGAGGAGCCGTGACCAGTGGAGCTAATCCGTGTCGGGTAGAGACAGGTATCTACCTGAGTACAATGGAAGTTGTAATAATACATTTGGATTATATTGTAAGACAATACGTGTAGTTTAATCGGTATATCAAGTTTTTCAGCTAAAGAGTTAATTAGTGCGGAGCATGATTTCGTGATATCACTTTACTAGACATGTAAATGACTCTGCAGTATATATACATGGAATAATTCTTTAAACGTCAAAGTTACGAATTCAAAATTATTAACCCCACCCGAAAATTGCTAGCCCTTATTTTAAACGTTTGTCACTGGTGTCCCATGCTAATTATTCGTCAGTCACACTTTGGTACTGTGAGCCGTGCCCTCCATTTTGTCTCAAAAACTAAGGTAAAGAAACTGGTTTGATGTTTGAAACTTTAATGATGTCAACCACAGCATCATTGACATGCCACAGATTTTTTCACTGATTGTACGTCGGTTTCAAACGATTAGAATGCGTGAAATAGCTTTTGTCCCTGAAAGATTGATTGTAAACGTGTATTGCAATTATAAATAAAGTTGACACTGTATAATTATGTACATAAATACCAAAACTGAGCTAAGATATCTTATCAACAACAGGCGTTGAAATTTCAAACGGTTGGATGTGTCAGCTTTACGGGATAATCTACATCAGGATGAATAAGAAGTTCACCCTCAACTTGATGTGGACACATTGGGATTTCCCACTGCACATAATCATATGGGCTACAAAGCAGTCTGTTCCTCAAATGGCCCCCAAAGTCTACAAGCAATCTACAGTCATCAAAAACTGCACCCTTCGTTTGCTAAGCCGCAAAAGACACTACTAGAGAGAATACAGACGAACTGGAGACAACAGTGTATATAAACAATTCAAACTAATAAGGAACATATGTACATAGGCATGAAGAGAAGGCAGGCCTCAGCAACAGATAAAGCTAATCAATAGATTTGTCTCCAATCCAAAAAGCTTATTCCGTCATGCAGTCTCACTTCGAAAGGAGGGTCACTCCTGTAACTTTAACCTGCTAAATGCGGTGAACAGATGGATAACCATCTATGATCAGAAGGCGGAGGCTGACGTCATATACTTTGAGTCCTCAAAAGCTTTTGGTAGGGTGAGTCGTATGTGCGATATCAATAAGCTTGAACAGTCAGGTATCACGTCACTATTTGGTTGATCCTCTTTATTCATATCTTAGTAATCGACTTTTTAAATCCAGGGCAAGCTTCAGTTTTTTCAGGCTCTCGAATGTTATAGTAGTGCACCCCAGGTTTCGAGACTATGGCCTCTTATCTTCTTAATTTGTATGAACGACCTTCCTCGGTGTTACGCTCAAGTTTTTGCTCACTTCCGTAATTGGGGTAAGGTATATCGAACTATTCGCAACTTACGAACCCAAATTAACAATAGGACCAAGCTCCAATTTAAGTATCAAAGTTTATTCGCAATTTACAACTAGTCGACCAAAATGTCGTTCTAACAATAATTAAAACAGTCACGAAGCAAACCTTCAATTTTGTAGAGTCCCGGAGCAAAAACCCTCAAATACCAAACCAAAAACGAAGAGAATCCAAAATGTCCGAAAATAAAGATATAGACAAACAAGTTCAGAGGCTGAGTAAAACAAACATATCCAAAAAACACAGTGAAATTGTTGATATTTAATATAAAGGTTTAAATCAACCAAATGTCTTTAATTCTCCTGTAACATTCAATAAGTATCGTCTGATTTGTAACTTCACATTGACGATTGGATAATCTGAAGAAAAGTGTGTTTGTCAATCTTAACTGTTTTTAGATGAGCGTATGTGTGCGCACTTCTTATCCTATTCACTACATGTCTTTAACTTATTTCTATCTCACTACAAATATCAACTAATGCCTGATAAAATGGAGTTGGCTCACTTGCCTCCACCGCTTGTCACTTCGCTTTGTACTCTTCTCTTCACCTTGCTGATCGTTTGTATGGATCAACGACTATTTGTAATATATGTATTGGAAATCCATTCTCGTATCTGACTTATTTAATTCCGTTATACACTAATGCGAGTTAAGTCAGTGATAATATACCAGGACTGGCGACGTGTTTATTTCAATAACAATCATTTATACAAATTGGAGTCAGATATCGGACCACTAAAGTGGTGAGCCCGTCGACATCGTCATCGTCCGATCTAATAGGTGTCAGAATAATGACCCACCGAAGTCATTGTTTCTTACAAATACCATAACCACTACACCTCAAATAATATAATAATATGTATTTTTGTAAGGGCAGGTACACGCCATTTTTACAGGCATGATCTATGAATTACAGCGTTTATTGTTTCACAGTACACATTCTAAATGAATATAGTCTATTAAAGTGAGTATCAGTCCATTCCTTCAGATATACTGAGTAATCTTTAAAACATTCTCCAAACGGGCATCGAGTCTACGTTACACCCGAGATTCTATCTCGGCATAACTGAGTTAAGATTTCGGTCGTGGGAAGTATTTATGCAATGAAATTTTTTAAGTTTATAGTTATTATAAAGTGGACTTGTAGGGCGCTTGGTGTAAACTATGACCTTGGTAAAACACGTACGTCTAGTTTGTTCCGGATGTCAGAAGTTCCATATCTGTGCCTTCAGAGCATGATTATGAAAAAAGGAGAATCCGAGGAGCAGCAAGGCACTAGGGTATGAACGATAAACAATACTAAGCATTTTGTAGTGAACGGACAAAGGTATGGTAAATTAATAGAATAAATTCATACTAGCTTTTGTAGCTGAAGTGAAGTGTGATCAGAGGCCCCATATGAGAAGATGCAGTAATAAAGAACAATGAGTTGTGATATTTACCAAGGTGGAGTAAGTTTGAATGAAGAAAGGGAAGTCAGGGTTGGAATAAGTGAAGCTGTTTATTAGAACAGGAAGTACATATAGACAGTAAGGTGTTAAGAAGACTAATAACTATCTCTTTTATTGTCTGATTTTTTTCTCGTCCGATGCCTGCCACAGTCTTAATGTAAAAGTTCGAGATGGGATGTTGTAGGTTGTCTTAATAGAATAGCTAATCCAGCATATAATTGAAAACATGAGTCTGAATGGTGAACGTAGGAGAGTAATTTAAATATCACAGATTGGTTGACTTGTTCTCAAATATAAAGAGCCTGATACAAACGAGATATTCTGCCCCACAAACATGGATGGATTGAAGTCATCGCCCTAACCATCCGTGAGAATCCGAATTTCTGCAATCAATTGTACCTCTTCTCCCTAATTTCATCATATATCTGTCCGTCTGTGTATTGAATATAGACTCTCTATGATCTAGAATACATTTATTAGTATTAGAGTTTGCAAGATCCAAAC